TATGTGGAGCCCACATCTAAAATAATATAGTGTCATGTGTATTTAAAATACAATGTATATTTTAAAATAATTTAAAATTCATAAGATTTAAAAAAGAAAACCAAAATTTTATGAATTTTAAATTAAAAAAATTAAAAAAATTTGCAAGGACCATTTGTGATAGATGTGTAAACCTCAGGGATGTTTTGTGATATATATATATGCCACATCAGCAAACTAACGGAGTTTTTGACGGAACCTAACGGCAGAGACCATTTGTGATTATACATACTAACCTTGAGGACCACTAATGACACAAAAAAACATTAAGGATGCAATCTGATAGTTTCCTAAACCTTAGGGACCTTTTGTGATAATAAGCCAAGGCCTTTATATAAAGCCCTCATTGTAAAGGCCTTATATAAAGCCCTCACTGTAAAATTCTTGCTAACGCAGTCATATCACATGCACACTACTTATGAAATATGATTAACTTTTTACTTTTGAAAGAAACACAATTACACGAGTTAGTTAACCATAGTTAAACCATGGCTAAGAATGATGAAAAGCAAAATTACTTGATAATTGGGGGGTGGGGACAAATCACCTTGTTCGTCAATCGATAATAAAACCAAAGGAGCAGAGCAACTAAGCCATTCATTGGATTCATCTTTGATTAACAATCACCCACCCAAACCAAACCAATTCACAAAATCACAAAATCAGTCTCGACATCACAAGAAAAATGCCTAAAAAAAAGAATATTGTTTCCACAAGCTGTCAGCCAAAAGCAGACACAAGATATTCATCAGCAACAACAATCACCATTTTCACACGAAATTAAAAGGGTGCAAGGAAGTTGAAGTTGAACTTGAAATCATAATCACTTTGGTCTCATTTGCTCCATTTGAACCAGGCAATATCATCGCTGGTTTTTCTGTAACTGAGACAGAAATATCTCATATTTTTCAAGCTTTGTTGTATCATATTACCAGCCTCATAAGAACTTACAATTCAAAATTGAAATATGCCCGTCTAAAAGTTTGACAAGCTTAAAAGTTGCACCATACAATTTCTGCGAGGTTCTAACTAAAACAAAGTCTACCATACAAGACAACAACGGTTCTCTACAGAATAACACAAACACCAGTGTCCCTAACCCTTATGACTACCTCCAATCAAATTACAAAAACAAAAACAAAAATCAGAAAAGCCAAGTGCACGGAAGAATATATTTAAGCCCCAACAAACAAAGAATGATGCAAACCAACTGCACTAACCGATAATAATCCTGCATGATTCATCGTCCATGTACTTTGAGAACACTAGCAGCCTCGTAAAAATGGCCTAACCTATCTACCAAGAACAAGATATGGACAGAGAAAACCCCTTAAGACATAATAGTCTGCACCCCATTTTGGTCTCATCCATTTTAACATAAACAGAGTTTCCTTTTAGAGAATCATTAGGAAATGGCATGAGCATGGATGTTAGGAAACCACCATGCCCTTAAAAACAATCTCACCCTCCTTTCATGACGTGAATGGAGAGGAGATCCAAATACAATAAACTATTGTTTTCATCCCAAACTTCAATACCTATTTCATACAATGAACACTTCAACAACTGCTTGAACAAATACATTACCACTTTAAACCAGGATCTCCAACAAAGAAACCTTCATTCAAGTTCTATACGTTTTGACCATCAATCAACAATCACTATAAAATCATGCCAAATTCTAAAACTTCGTCCCGTGAGCACCCTAACTTCCTTCGGTAAGCCACTAAACTAGAGTACATCAGCAGTCAAATCTATTTACTAAAAGAATGTATATAACCAACAGAGAGTAACAGGAACATGCTAAAGACTAATCTAACTTAATTTTGGTCCTATCCAATCCCATTCTCTATCGTACCAATCAAACATACTATGAATTCTTGCAACTAAGAAGCTCAGACCGTGCTCATACTTACATTCAATACATGCTTCTACTTCCATTTTGGGACAAATTTTTAACTGCGAATCTAACAAATATAATTATTAACAAGCACCAGATAATATAAATGAATATATAAAAAAGAAACTAAATTCATCAGAATCAGAATTGTACTAAAGCAACATGTAACATTACATCTTGGAAGTTTCAGAAAAAGTGAACGAAGAACAATTTCAGATTCAATCTACATGAAACCCTATCATTTCATTTCCGCTCCAAAATTTCGCAAACAAATTTTGTTCCTACCAAGAATATCAGTTGAACAGATCAGTACAAAATGGATTTGGCCTCACCAACCTTTTAGCCATGAACTCCGAAATCCAACTACACACGTGCTGCGACGGAGGCAGCGGCGGTTGAGGTGGCGCCGCCGAGGAATGAGAGGAAGCCAGCGTTGGCCGGCTCCTGGTCGTCGAGGAATAGGTCCTCTGGAACCCTAAACGCACCGTGCGCACAAACAATGGCGAAGCCGATCAACAAAGCCGAGATGAGGAGCGAGCCGACGCTGGAGACGAAGACCACGACCACAGTCAACACGACGAGGCCGACAAGTGTTTCGGCGTCAGAGAAAGTGCGGCCGAGGATGACCAGCGGCTGATCGGAGGGTCTAAATAGGTAGAGGAAGGCCCACGCACCGAGGAGGGAGAGTAGGACGAGGAGAGAGAAGGGGTGGGTGAGGAGAGAGAGGGCGAGTACGAGGGCGAGCAGGGACACGTAGTTGACGCGGAAGTAGGTGAAATTCTTTCGGATCCGAGAGTACGCGTCGGAGAGGGAGTCGGGTCGGGACAAGGAGCTCCGGTCCAGGAGCTCGTACCAGGGCCGGCGCTGCGAGAAGCCGTAGCGGATCGAGGAGGAGAAGCGTGAGAGGAACGCGCGGAAGGCGGGGGTGGCGATTGGAGGCTGTGACTGGGCGCCGACGGTCGATTGGTTGTTGGAGATCGGGATTGTCGGTGGGGTGGCCATTGTTGGCGCGTGAGATGGCGGGTGTCTTGGAGGGATGTTCTTTGATTAAACACAGAGAGACAATAGGCAAAGAGAAGCTGTTTTATTGGAGCGAATTTAGTAATGGCGACGGTGATTTGGAAGGGGGCTGATCGTGTGTGGGAAGGTGTATGGTATTTAGATTGTGTAAGCTTAAGAAGCCCAAATCTAAATCTGGGCCGAAATCTTAACAGCCCAATATAATTCTTGTGGTTTAGTCCACTTCAGCATTTGGTGAAATTTTTGTTTGTGACCATAACACAGGTCATTTATACGTGGCATTTGTAAATTATCCACGTGTGTTATGAGATGAGTAGATTGAGTAAATTCTTAATATTAAAAATCCTAAGCAACATGGTTTAATTCTACAATTAATAAATTAATAACATCACTTGACAAAGTTGTTGTCTCACCACGTGACCCATGTAGCAAGAGTAGTCTTTAAGAAGCCAGTTAGGCATGACTTGACAATTTTAGACTAGAGCCTAATATATCCATATTCTTAATAACAGTCCCGATCTCTTGGACCACAGGAGTCCAAGAAATTGTGGTCACCCACCGTTGGATATTAATCCAATGGTTCAAAAAAGTTTCTTAAAAGGAGTGCAAGAGTGAGTGAACCGTTGAATTTGATTAAGCCATTGGTTATGTTTGGCCTAAAAATATCGAATCGGGTAAAAAATAAAAGCATTTTGATTCTGCATAACTTTGAAAGGCCACACGTAAATTGGCATACTACAGCAGGCTATCCTTTTATCAATGGATACAAAGTTTATTGCCCAAATTAAGGTGCAGATAATCTTATCCATTGCTTTTCATGATAAAAATATGTAATCAATTAGCATAAAATTCTCTAATTATGAGAAAACATTCCAAGTTTTCTTTCTTAATTCAAAGAAGCAATTAAAAAGTGCATTTCAGCATAATTGAGCAAAACGATTCTTATATAGGTAGGACACCACATACTAACGTGATACAATAAATAATCATATTAACTAACGTGATACAACAAACCAATGTTAAAATTATGTATAGCCTAACAAGCAAGGAAAGAAACAGCCAAACCCATTTATTGCTATATGCAAACTTGCATATGCTAAATGTGCTTCTAAATTGTTGGTCATTCGTAAGACAATTAACTCCTTTTCTTAGCAGGTTCAATGCTTCTTCTTTGCCTTTTTTCTCTGATTTCCATCCACCCCAATAACTCTTTTTTTCTTCTAAGTAATCATGCACCGATTGTATATATCCATGATGTCAACTGGACACGCGTGTCAACTGCATTTCTTGCACAACTTTCCATCTAAAAGTTTTATTCCAGCCCATCATCCAGCCAATTATATTCTTTTACTCTTGACTTTCCTCCCTCCAGAATCTTTTTTTTTCTTTCAGTTATGCTTCTATTTAAGTTGGACAGCACAAATGACCTAATGGTTTGAAATAATTGTTCTTTCAGATAAGATTATGGGTTCGAGCCCTAGTATTCGTGTTGTGTGTGCGAATTTAGTGTATTATCGCCCTTCTCAATAGAAAAGGTCTTTTTTAAAAAAAAGTTGGACATGCCTATAAAAATGGACATAATGCTTGAAGTGCTTATAATTAAAGCAGCTGGCTAAAGGAGATTTAAACTTTGATTAGCAAGTCTGCTTAATTCAATGGCTTCTTGTGGCTTTCCTGACATATTTTCCTGGATTCAGAGCCTTCCACCAGTCACTCAATGGCCAACAACTTCCATGTCCATATCCATATGTTCCTCAAGTTCATCCCAACCATCTCTCAAACTCACCATTTCTCAAAACCATCAGACCCAAAAACTCTCTTTTGCAATAGCTGCAGATTTCAACCTCCCCATCTTTCTTTGGACCTCCAAACAATTCAAGTTCAGCCCCCAATCCATCAAGCTAATATCTCAAGAAACTGTCTCCAGCCTCTTAGTCAATTTCATTGAAGATGTGCTTCGTTATGGCTCAAACAATAACAATTTCTTGATCAAATTTCTCAAACTAGATTCCATTGCCAACTTTGGAGATGTTTTTAACCTTTCATTTGTCGCTCTCCTCTTCCTTGTTTGCATATATGAAGCACCTGCTGATCTCCGATCGGGATGTCTTAACAGTATCAAGAATTACTTGGCAAATTGTTGGTCAAGACAAGCATCAGAGTCTCTCATGAAAGTGTTAGGATCCAATTTAGAAGAGGAATGGATGAGGTCCTTAAATCTTGCAATTACCAATTGGATTGTGGAGCTCCAAGCCACCCAGTGCACCCTCGTGAAAACGCCATCTCCACTTTTCTCTTATGCATTTTCAACATTTGGGTTATGGAAAGTCCAATTGTATTGTCCTCTCATAGCCATGGACATTGCAAGTTCCAGCAGCCCTTCTGTTGATGAGAGGCTGCAATTCTCTCTAAATTACCACCAGCTTGAGGGCGTGCTTCAATTCAATTCCAAGGTCATAGTTCAAGAGAGGTGGATTGATGTGATGCTAAACATTGATAACATAAGGTACTTTTTAGTGTTTGATAGCCAAATTTCTTGTAACACAAATTTTGATCACTAACTCTATATATACTTGCCTTCTCTGTATTTTTTTTTCTTTTCTATTTTTCTGAAGGTGTGATGTGATCAGTCTTGTGAATGAGAGACTGATGAACGAACGAGGAGCCGGTGTAGCTGAAAAGCACTTCCCTTCAAGAATTTCATTACAAATTACTCCAACCGTCCAAACCAATGTGGTAAGAGTTTCAGTGGGAAAGTCTTCTGAGAACCCTGCAAGAGAGATTGGCCACGAGAAAGGCATAGAAGGCTCATTTGAGCCCCCTAACCCTTACTTGGCACTCAAGGTATCAGCAGGAGAGACCATAACAATGAGCTTGAAGCCATGGAAATTCGAGGAATCGGTGTACGGCTATAGCGCAAAATTGAACTGGTTTCTTCATGATAGTGTGGATGGAAGAGAGGTCTTCTCTTCTAAGCCATCAAAATTTGCATTGATCAACCCTAAGGCATGGTTCAAAGACAGATACTCCAGCGCTTATAGGCCCTTCACAAGGCAAGGAGGGATCATTTTTGCTGGTGATGAATATGGAGAGGGTGTGTGGTGGAAGGTGGACAAAGCTGCCATGGGAAGAACAATGGATTGGGAAATTAGAGGGTGGATTTGGTTAACTTATTGGCCTAACAAACATAAAACATTTTATACTGAGACTAGGAGGCTGGAATTTAGAGAAATCCTCACCCTCACAATTGCTTAATTTCTTTAGGGCCACAGTTACAATTGTTTAATCTAGGAAAACCTAAGTGCAATTTGTCTCCAAGAGTAACCATTTGGAATATAAGATTCCATTCCAAATTAATGGTTTGAACTTTGAATGGAATGTAAAGTTGTAAACAATACATGTACATTTGTATTTGTATGCAAATAAATACTTTTGAGTTAATTTTCTTCGAGCGCTCACCTGTATCCGCGAAGTCTTATGTTCGTTTTTTCTCGCGGAATTTTGATTTGTATTAAAAGAAGAAAAAAAATAATGGACCAAAGTTATTTTGGAATTAAATTGTACCCAAAAGAAAGTATTGGGCTTGAGCTATACGTAAGCCCTATGTCGTGTCAAAAGCCCATTAATTGTGAATTTGATATCAACGCAAGTATTGCAAATCATAGATCACGTGACGTGCACGTGGCATGCGGACCTGTGTGATTCTACGACATGCCGTGCGCAGTAATAAGTTAGCGACAAATGCTGGAAACCAAACGGAGAAACTGATGACAGAGGCGGACATTTCGAAGATCAACCTCCCCAACTGTGCTTAACCAAACACACACGTACTGAATCTTCTTCTTCTTCAAGCTCTCGATTTAACCCCCAAAATTCCTCTATAAATTGCCATCTCGGTCCAATTTCACCATTTCTGGTTCGTCAAAATCCCAGAAATCTCTCGTCTGCATTTTGCTTCAATCGATTAGCTCCCTCCAACAATGGAGTCCTCTGCTGTTCTCGGATCCTTTAACTGTAACTCTCTCGCTCTCTCTGTTTTCATGCTTTCATATTTACATACATCCATGAATAGATAATATATTTTGGTACTTTGAAGCTTAAGCAGTGAGTGTGCTTGCATTAGTTGTTAAACAATTTGAGCTATGAATTTATTTTGTTGTTTGATTTCGTGGACGAACTGATAGAAGAAGAATCAATCAAAATGCTGTAGATTTTTCAAAAAGAAAATAGAAGATTTTGATTAATTCTGGAGAACTCACTAAACTAAGCTGGTTCTTGCACACGCTTTTTGTGAAGGGATTAATGTATTACTAGTTTAAAGATATATGGATATGGAGGTAACAAATCAGGCTCCAAAGGTTTGAGATCTGATGTGATATTCATTTTCTTGTTATCTTCAACCGTCACGGATTTCTATGATAAGCTTACCTAAGTGGATCTAATTTAAGAGGACAAATTGCATAATCTTTTTACTTTACTCTGCGGAGTGCAGACTATTCAACTATTGTTGAAGCTTGATCCAAATTTGGATTCTTATAAGACAGTGTCAAATTGCAGGTTCTGTAGGCACAGTTTCTCATGTTCGGTCCTCGCTTGACAAGCCTGGTATGCTTCCTGCGTATAATACCGCAAGACCAACCGTGAGTAGATCATACTTCCAAGGCTTGATGGTTAGTGAGAAGTTCATTTATTCTCCACAAAAGCGGAGGGGAGTGCAAGTATCATGTGTGAAGACATCTGAAGCTGCCAAGAGTGAAAAATCCAGCGGTATGTTTTAGATTTGTATGTCATTTTTGTTTGGAGTTGGGGCAGGATGCAATCTTAGATGTATGAGTTTTTGAACCACATTTAGTGTTTTAGATTTGTATGTCATTCAGAACTCGAAACAGGGTATATTTCCATGTCCATAATTGAATATTACTTAAGTACCCACAATGTGATTGCTCAGCTGAAGTCACTTTCTACTGCATTCATTCTACATTCTACTCTCGCCTGGTTATTTCGTAAAGCCTGATTTCCATGATACTGGTGCATCTGAAGATTATTTTTGTCAATGAGAGAATCTAGTTTACATCTGGGTTTGCTTTCTTTCTTTTTTGTTTTTGTTTTTATAAACTTCTGGGATTTCATTTGTGTTCTGGTATGACGCTGCCTCTCTCTGTGTTGGCCCATGGTAGAAATGTGCTTACACATGCTAATATGTCACTGTATCATAGTCTGAGTAAAATTATTAGAATTCCATCTTAGAGATGTTTTGATGTTGGGCACTTTCAACAGATAGTAAGCCACAAGTCTCATCAGAGAGAACTACTCAACCCGCAACTTTTCCTAATGGATTTGAGGTGAGAATATCTGTATAAGGAAAAAAGTCTGTGATAAGACGCATAGTGGTCTTTGAACTGTACCTTCTGGTTTGACACATAGTTGTCTTTATCATCAGGCACTAATGCTAGAAGTCTGTGATGAGACAGAAGTTGCTGAACTGAAACTTAAGGTAAATATCAACATCCATCAAGCAACCTGGTACTCTTGCAAATCTGTTGTTGTTGCCTTTTGTGTAAATAAGATATGCATTTTATAGTAAAGAAAGAAAGTCAGTACTTCATTAAGAACCAGAAAAGCACTGGGTTCTCAATATGTTAAGGGGATGATGAATACAAGGATCACCTTGTATCATAATATTACTAGAGTCGCCTTAGCCTATCTATATTCAAGGGGTTTTCTTGCTTGTTAGAGCTTTAGTTTTGAGTAAGGACGTTTAGGCTTTACTAATAGAATATATAGGGCTTTCTCGCTTGTTTAGATTGCTTTGGCCTTGTCATCAGTATCCTGTTTAGTGAGCCATGCAGTTTGCATAAGGGACAACATAAAACATTGTAGCATACATCATGGATTTCAAGACCTGGTTAAAGTTCATTAATCTCTAAGGCTTCTACTGTTTTATGGTATGGGTTGTCTAGAGTTGATTGTAATCTGCAAATTTTTGGCTGTATTTTACATTCTCTTCTTTGACTGACCCTGCATAACTGTGTTAGGTTGGAGACTTTGAAATGCATTTGAAGCGGAATATTGGAGCCACCAGTGCTCCTGTGTCTAGCATCTCGCCAGCAGCAGCACCACCTATTCCAAGTAAACCCATGGTTGAATCAGCTCCTGCTCCCCCTCCAGCACCAGCACCAAAATCTTCTTCTGAAAAAGCCACTCCATTTACCAACACTTCTGTAGACAAGTCATCAAGATTGGCAGCCTTGGAGGCTTCTGGAGCTAATGGATATGTTCTGGTTTCTTCTCCTACGGTATGTGTTGTGCTTATGTTCGAGGAACAATTTGGTTCTTTTACTCTGTCCTGGACAATAACTACAACATAGCTAGGATTCACTTTCATCTTTCGTTTTTTGTCTGTTCCAGGTTGGTTCATTCCGAAGGGGTAGAACAGTGAAAGGAAAGAAGCAACCTCCAATCTGTAAAGAGGTATCTGTTTCATAACTCTGTTTGGTTCATCATTTTTAATATTTTAGATTTAGTAGAAAATTCACCTAATATGTCATTCTTATGTCTTGTGTTCATATTTCCTCTTATTCCCATGTGCTTGATTCAATGATAAACTGATTTAGCTCTCCTTATGCCTTAACCTTTGATAGCTATTTTCTACCTACAAAATAACTCCCAGTGGATTCTTCTAAAATCCTGTTTTAATTGAGTAAATCAAGAACTAAACTGATCCGTAATTAAAAATCCATCTAGAAGATTGCATTTTCCGTAACAAGATCAATCTCTAAATAAGTCCCATATCAATAAGCATACAGGTAATTTTACAGACTACCTATCCTATGGGTGCCTTCATGTAACTGTTATCAGGACTTAAGTCTATTAACAGTGTCTCGACATCTTGATTTCCTTATCCAAATACTGGCAACATTTTGATTCCTTAAACCATAAACCTTTTGTGTAACAAACTTGGCAACATAACCTCAATTTGCCTTCTCTTGATTCCAAACTGCACAGGGTGATCTGATCAAAGGAGGACAAGTAATCGGATATGTGGATCAGTTTGGCACTGAACTTCCTGTGAAGGTATGTTTTCCCTTTTGAGTTCCTTTAATGCATGTTTTATACTACATACTTCACTCATGATGGATTCTTGATATATTGAGCAGTCAGATGTGGGCGGAGAAGTTTTGAAGCTCCTCTTCAATGACGGAGGTATAATGACTATTATCATTTTTCAATGCATGATATTTAAATGCTATCAAGTTGTGTCATATATAGGGTGTATAATAAGAACTTAAATTAGCACTGCAAACAAGTACGGAATATGGGGCACAACGAAATTCAGAATACAAAAAATCTCGCGGCATTTATAAATGTTAAAGCTTCATATTTTTACTTAAAAACTTATATGGCTGCGATTACCCTCTTATGGTTTTAATTGAATTGGTAATGATTCACAGAAGCCGTTGGTTATGGAGACCCACTCATCGCTGTCTTGCCATCATTTCACGGTATCAACATCAAGTGAGCTTTCCCCCTTCCGGGAAATTCTTGTTGAAGAGCTACGAGGCTTGCAGTTTTCCAGAGTCATTCTTTCCATCAGTGTCTATTTACGGTGTGGCATTAGGGGACATGCGTATTTCGCAATATGTATTTCAATATTTCTGATCAGGAAAATTGACTGTAGATCAATGAATAATTTGATTGAGCTTCTTTAATCGTTGTGTTAGTCTGTTGGACATTGTCTTTGTTGTTAGTGGTTACATTCCGTGATAAATGTAGTGCGTATGAAGGGAAAACTTTTTTTCTTTTCTTTTTCACTCAACTGTTGTATTGCATGGAAGAAGTAGTAACATCTTAATTTGCCTGGCTTTGTTGTCCTCTCCTCTCCGGTGGTTTTAATTGAAATAGTCCGGTCCATGCTGAGCCATCAAACTAAGCAAGCGTTCATATCTCTCAACTCATATCCCTCTTTCCCTCGCTTTTTATTGGCCAAATAGTATTTCCCCCTTTTTTTCATTAGCAAAATATAGCGATAAAAACAAAAACAAAACAAAAGGCAACCAAATTATTAATATGATTAGGACAAAATTTTTTTAAATATTTTTTATAAACGCCCTCCTTGAATTAGCAGCACCACCCCAAATTTGGTCCGTCTCCTCCTGTACCTGGCAGATAATAATAAGAAAGTCGGACTATTGGATAAAGTTGATAAGTGACCAGATTTTTTTCACCATCCAGAAAAGTTTCAAAGTATTTTCCAAATTTATGTGACGAAGAAAACCTCAATTTCCGACTCAAAAAAAAGAAAATAAAAAACTGAATGATTGAAAGCGCCTAAACGTAAACGAAAAACGAACCAGACAGCCCATGCTTCTAAATCCGAAAATCAACGACCCTCTGCCCTCCTCTCTTTCAGATAGACCAATGTGGGACTGCCTGTTAAACATTTTCTCCGCAAAAACAAAGAATGAAGACCCACGCTAACAGAGGCTTCGCCACAACTGGACCACTCCACGTAACATCTCTTCCCCGAGCCTCACCGGAAATTTCCCTTCGCCGCCAACTTCCAACCGGATTCCACGTTTTTCGGCGAGTTTCATACGGTAAAGGCCACCGCACCAAAATCTCCGTCATTCTCCGCCAGAATCCGGCCGAAACTTCCGAGCAGAATATCGCAAATTCGATAGAAAGTGCTGACGATTGCAACGAAGCTCGCCGGAGTTCGCTCCACACGAGGCGACACGCACTACTCGCTCCTTCGCTGGCGCTCGGCGCGTGGTTTCTAAAATCGACAGTGGCCAGCGCGGAGGACGCTCCGTCGCCACCACCGTCGCCGTCACAAACCGTACCAGTGCCGACAGCTGATGAGAAGAAAAAAGAGGAGGATGCGATAACGTCAAGAATATACGACGCGTCGGCGATTGGAGAGCCCGTGTCTTTGGGGAAGGACAAGAGCAAGGTGTGGGAGAAGGTGATGAATGCTCGGATATTGTACTTAGGTGAAGCCGAACAGGTTCCGATTCGTGACGACAAAGAATTGGAGCTGGAGATTGTAAAGAACTTGTGGAAAAGGTGTTTGGAGAGTGAGCGAGCCTTATCTTTAGCTCTTGAAGCATTTCCTTCTGATCTTCAGGACCAGCTCAATCAGTATATGAAGAAAAGGTTCTCTCTTAAATATTATATCTATCTAGCTTTTTATGTATAATTTACATTTCACACTCACTTGTATATTTTCTGTATTGCTTGTATTGATGCCTGCGCATATATGATGGCACAGCATAGATGGAGATGCTTTGAAGTCCTACACATCACATTGGCCACCTCAACGCTGGCATGAGTATGAGCCCCTTCTAAGTTACTGTCGCGACAATGGAGTTCGGCTTGTGGCTTGTGGTACTCCACTCAAGGTATTCTTACATTGCTTTCCTATAAATCAAACTAGCTAGCATCAATATATAATGGTGTATCTGGTACTGGTTGATTACTTAAGATTGTATTTTCTGCCACTTCTTAATTTTAGAGTGTGTATAGTAGGTTAATGAATAAAGAATGCATAGTGATTACTTTGGTTTTCATAGGTTTTACGGACTGTCCAATCGGAGGGAATTAGTGGGCTTTCAAAGGCTGATCGTAAAGCGTATGCTCCTCCAGCAGGTTCAGGTTTTATCTCAGGCTTCACTTCTAGCACAAGCAGAACACCACTTGATTCGAATTCTCCGAATCAATCTGTGCCTTTTGGGCCAAGCTCATATCTTTCTGCACAAGCAAGAGTGGTTGAGGATTATACTATGTCCCAGATTATCTTACAGGCCATGGTGGATGGAGGAGCAAATGGTATGCTAGTGGTGGTGACAGGTGCAAGCCATGTTAGATATGGGATTAGAGGGACAGGACTGCCAGCTAGAATTTCAAAAAAGTTGCAAAAGAAAAACCAAGTAGTTATATTACTTGATCCTGAAAGACAGCACATACGACAGGAGGGAGAAGTTCCTGTTGCTGATTTCTTGTGGTATTCTGCTGCCAGCCCCTGCAACAGGAATTGTTTTGATCGTGCTGAAATTTCCCGAGTTATGAATGCAGCAGGCAGGAGGCGAGATGCCCTTCCACAGGTTAGTATTCTTATTAAGTTTTTTTTCTTTTGGTTTTTCTGGGAAATTATAGCTCCTACCAATCTCCCCTTAATGCATGCAGTAGGAGGTTACTTGTAGGTGGTATGTAGTTTTAATGCAACTAGTAGTTGACTGTTATGGTGGTTTTAGTTGTCAAGAAAAAAAGAGGGATTGTCTTATGCTATGATGAAACTAGAGGGATCATCTTAAACAACATGAATTGTTTATTTAGCCGAAATTTCACCTTTTCCAAAATGTAATTTTGGATTTAACAGATGATATTTGGATAACCGAGGTGAGGTGTCCTGTGTAGTGGGTTTGCAAGTCGCACGTGCTTTTAGACAAATATCAACTCTCCTTAATAATGTTTTTTTCCTTCTCTCAAGAAGACCAGACTGTGACATGCTTTTCAGGATCTTCAAAAAGGACTGGATCTTGGTTTGGTATCTCCAGAGGTATTACAGAACTTCTTTGATCTGGAGCAGTATCCTCTTATTTCAGAACTCACTCAACGTTTCCAGGTGTGCAGATTTGAAATTTTTATCTGTTAACTTATCTCATATTTGTAATGGAAGGAAAGGTGAAAACCAATTGATGTCAATGAACCTAATTTTGAAGAGTTTGACAAACAAAAAAGCCTAATTTTGAAGAGCACGTAAGTTTACTTTAGCTTATCTTGATGCAGGGTTTCAGGGAAAGATTGTTGGCAGATCCTAAGTTCTTGCATAGATTAGCCATCGAAGAAGCTATATCAATAACTACCACTCTCTTTGCACAGTATGAGAGGCGCAAAGAAAATTTCTTTGAAGAGCTGGACTATGTTATCACAGACACTCTAAGGGGATCAGTTGTTGATTTCTTTACAGTGTGGCTTCCTGCCCCGACATTGTCGTTTCTTTCATATGCTGATGAGATCAATGTGCCTGATAGCATGGATGCTATTAAAGGTCTCATTGGGTCCATCCCAGATAATGCATTTCAAAAGAATCTTGTGGGGAAGGATTGGAGTATCAATTATAGACTTGCATCTGTGCTTTTGGGTGGTCTAAAACTAGCTGGTGTTGGAATTATTTCCAGTATTGCGGCTGTTGCTGCCTCAAATGGTCTGTTTGCAGTTCGCAGATTTATTAATCCAGCTCTGGTCATTAATCAGCAAAAGAAAAGAACTCCAATACTTAAAACGGCGATAATCTATGGAGGCTTTCTTGGAACATCGGCAAATCTCCGTTATCAGGTAGAGATGTACTTGTCTAATTACTGTAACAGTAATCAAATTACAATTAAGGTTAACAGTCCACCAAAAACAAAAACAACAATAGAACAGCCAAATAAAGTAAACTAGCAACTCAAGGAACAACTAGTGACTCATGAAACAGCAGCAACCCATGAGAATGAACAAAGAAAAATGGTATATCTCAAAATTATTTTGAAGTCGATGGCCACAAAAGATGCTTCCATTTTGAAAAGATAAAAAGAGAGAAAAAGAAAACTGAGCTACAACCTGTTAAATTGGAGCCAAGTTGGCATCTTTTCTGCCTTATATATCAGAATGAACCTCATAAAGTCAGTCTTTCCAAGATTATATAGGATAGGACAATTTTCTTTTCAGTATAACTAAATAAAAGCATATTTATACATCTTAATCATGTCTTATATTTCCTTTGGCATTAACTTGAATGTTGATTCTAATGCAGATTATTGCTGGAGTAATAGAACATCGACTTTCTGACGAATTTTCTTCTCAAACATTACTTGTAAATATGCTGTCTTTTGTTTCTCGGACAATAAACTCTTATTGGGGAACTCAGGTTAGAATCATCTTGATATTCTGCAAGTTTAAATTCATTTGTTCCTTTACTTTTCAAAGATTAACTAAGCCATGGCGACCATATTATTACTCTTCCTGAAACCCATGTATTGGAACCTGGCTCATCCCATGATTGTGTTAGTTGTAATTATGTACGCTATGTGTGTATTATTGGGGAACTATGGTTAGAATCATCTTGATATTCTGCAAGTTTAAATTCATTTGTTCCTTTACTTTTCAAAGATTGACTAAGCCATGGCGACCATATTATTACTCTTCCTGAAACCCATGTGTTGGAACCTGGCTCATCCCATGATTGTGTTAGTTGTAATTATGTACGCTATGTGTATAGAGAATATATACTTCGCAGAGTGAAAGACGGGGATCTTTTTCAGAATGTCTTAAGAGAATAATTTATAATATGTAAGCCATGTGTTTAGAGAACCTGGCACATTCCATTATTGTATTTATTTGTAATTATGTTCATTATTATGTATTCTGTCAGTAGTACACTGTTGTTTATATAACCCTTTCATAAACTATGTGGATCTTTTTCTAGCTTTTATTTGGTTTTGTTTTATGTGAGCCCTTGTTGCAATCCTTGTGAATCACTTGATCTTGATTAATCTTCTATGCGAACCTTTGTTGGTCACAATAACTAAAATGCAATTAGATAAGCTTGTTGCCCAATGTTGTTTCTGATGTATCCTCTTGACTGCTGCAGCAATGGATTGATCTTGCACGCTTTACTGGTCTGCAAACGCGGAAGAGTGAATCGTCCCAAACGCCAGATTCTACTAACCAAATGCCAGCACTGGAATGTAACAACACAGAGGAGACAAATGTAGATGAAATCCAGAACAAATGAGGTGATATCCCACTTTATGTCTTCATACCAATTAGCAGATTTTGCTCTAAAAGCTGCTGGGAGAGATCTCAAAGAAACGGATTTTGGTCCTTAGCTTTACATGTATTACTTCAATTACGTACCCAATTGTAAATTGCTTATGCGCTTGTAAGATACAATTCTTTCAATTTTGATGATCACAATCAAAGGCAATATTCTATAATTAAATGCTCTGTGTGTGTGTGTGTGTGTAGCAAAATGAGTGGGGAAACCTTGATGAAGAGATATATGTTTCTCTTCAAAGTTCAAACCATTGATTGGAGTTTTCTTCCCTACTGTTACTGAACTAATGGTAGGGTTGGAGGGTATGAAGAGTGCCAAAGATGCGGGATTTGAAGCCGGATGCTTTGCAGGTGATCCATGTGCTTCAAAAGGAATTAAAGAGAGTCTTTCCATGAAAGGATCTCTAATCTAGATGCGGCTACACTTGTCATGAGTGGTTGTAGAATGTTTTGTCACAAATTGGGCCTCGTAAATGTAATGAGGTTGCAGATCAGACGTGTAAAATTTCGTTGACAACATATAAAGGAAAAATCAAAGGGCAAAAATGAATGGGTCTAAGTTTGAAAAGGAAAGAGAAGACCAAGACAAGACGAAGAGTTTCTAAGCTCTAAGCTCTATTTCCTATCATGTTCATTGACTGTAATTGTCCACGATCCTCTTACTGTTTCCTCAGGTGCATCATGAATTAGCGGTTCTCTGTCAATTGGTTGATTCCGGCTAACCGGTTTTCCTCCTATTCTCTGTTGTTGCAACACTAATACAGAAACTGAACAATGAAAGTCCGGGGAAGCAAGCATGTCTCCGACGATTCCAAGCTCTGGGCACTCACTCCACTCACCAAGCCCTGAAAGAAGCGGAGAGTCCTGATGGTGCCTCCCTACCAACATCAAATCAAAACAATCCACCATTGATTTGATAACAGCAGACAACCGTGCTCCATCTCTTACCACCTCCTCCACAACAACAAACCGCTCGTTGTCTCCATTGGCTACCCGGTATTCCTCAAGCAAGTCAGAGTCCCGCTTCCGGTCTTTACTATTTTCTTCTCCAAAGAGAAGGAACCGTGCAACTGTTAAGTCCACACTTGGATGCCTTGCCATGCGAGCGCCATAGGCCAGTGCCTCTGTATCATCTGCACCACCAATGAAGATCACAGCAACATGGCATATATACCGGCTGGTTAGCATTGACACCGACCCGCCTAGGACCCCTCGATCGATGAGAATTCCAACTGAGCAAGGTGCCTTTTCGAGGACATTGATGTTCATGGACTGGAGGGGTCGGTTCACTGACCCAATGCTGCCATCTATGGCCCATTGCTTGTGAAACGGCATGATCACAAGGTTTACCCTCTTCTCAAATGCTAACCGGCAAATATCATCATGCATTGATACATAACTCGAGATGGAAGTGAATGCTTGGATGGTGGCGTACCCTTCATTGTATTGCTCGTATTGCCTCATGGCTTTGACAATATGGCCAGACTGGCTGTTCTCTAAGTTGTCATGGGGACGGTGTGACACAAGAACAGGGTTGGTTCGCCCCACAAGCTCAGTGAGGACGAGGGCTATGACTGCAACAGGGTTCTGTTCTGTAGCATTTGATACTTCCAGGACGTTTATGAATGTGGGAACGTTCTCTTGGTTGTGGATGCATGCTAGGATTCGGAGCTCTGACTCACGTTTCAAATGCTGGATTGTACTTCTTCTCGTCACTGCGTATTGCTTTGAAGGATCATAAAGATATTTTATCAAGGGCGTTACCACTGCTGTTATGAGCACCACTGAGATCACGACCAGCGCAAATTCTTGATCAGTCAGAACCTGTAAAAAAATTCATCATATCATTCAAGATTAGCATTGGTACTCACTCAAAGTAGTTAGAGAAAAATGCACAACAGAATCTGTAAGGGCCAATGGATGGAGAAGGTGCTGCTGAGAACTTCAAAAGTAAATGAGAGAGTTTCAAGTGATTGAGACTCAGACCTTGCTTTGCTTAAACAGGTTGAACATGACAAGCTCTGTGATGCCTTTTGAGTTGAGGATGAGGCCAAGCACAAAAGCTTGGCGCAGAGGCACATCAAAATAGCTGGCTGGCAACATTACAGCTCCTATCTTCACCAGGCTAGAAAAGATAACAACCACCCCCACAATCCACAAAGACCGAGGATGAATCCTGAAGATGTTCGTTTTCAGCCCACTATTGGCAAGGTAAGTTGGATAGAATATTCCTGTAGCAATGATTTCCACCTTTGTCACCAAAGCTGCTCCCAAGGGCGGTCCTTCAGGCACCGCATAGCCAAGCACTAGGGGTCCAAGTAAGAAATGCTGGCTTACAAGCTCACTGATAAATCCACACAAAAGAACAAAGAGGAAAATGGTGACAATATATGACTCCTTGACAGATTTCCCTTCCTCTATACGGTTTAGCATCCATAGTATGATTGGTCTGAGCACATACGTAATGCCAAGCACAAATGCTAGTGCTGATAGTAGTTCAAACATTGGAATTAATAAACTCCTGGTCCTATTATCCAAAATTGCCATACCAATCGCGACCAGGACAATGCCGAGAACATCACAAAACATTGTTATAGAGAGGGCCAGGCGGCCCAGTTCGGTGTTCATGAGTTTGAGCTCAGCTAGTAAACAAGCGACAACAAGGGAACTTGATATACACTGTGATCCAGCTATACATGGAAGTGCCATCTTAAGGGTTTCGTCCATGGGGAGATAGTTCATCATAATTAAGACTAGGCATTCAGGGAGCGCCAAGGTGAAGAAGAACACTGAAATTCCAATGGTCACCGCCCTTCTATCTGGCTTTAACATTCTTCCCACATTCATCTTCACTCCTATTGAAAAAAGGAAGAACATGAGGCCGAATGTTGCAGTAGTTTCAAACACATTGGCGCCTTTTACGGGGAAGAGGGTGCGTGAGATTTCCTTTCTATGCCCCAGAACTGACGGTCCGAAAATTATGCCACCCTGACAACGACACATAATTTTCATTTGTTAGATACATGCACAATGAGAAGGATATAGCTAGCTAGGTAATGACCCTTTTCCTTACTAAATGCTACACATTGATTTTCAAATTCATACATGTATAGTATAGGATAATCATATCAAACTTTTTTTCTTATCTTTTTTTGTTCAACTAGGTTGTTTGATTCTTCATTTTTAACGAGTATTTACTTTGTTTATATACCCTTTAATGCAGAAAGCTAAACAATCCGACATGGTGAATTCTCGCATATATAGAAATTATGCAAAAAACTACGTATAAGTTTTGTCAATATAGAGATTGAAACCTTACAACAATTTGAGAAACGATAGTGGACTGTCCCATAGGTTTGAGACAGAGATTGATCAACTGTGAAACTACGCCAATTACAGACAACTGCAGCAAAAGAAGAGATGTAGCGGAACGCAGAGGGCTTCTGTGGCGCCACACACCCCCGGAAGCTATGCTGCTGTGGGGATCTTGGCAAACCAAAGTCACATTATCTATTGCCTGTTGGATTTCTCCAATCAAGTGATTTATTTCCATGCCCATCTTGATCAAACTTTGCTTGCAGGAAGAACAAGAACAAAAACAAGAAAGAAAGAAAGAAGAAAGAAGAAAGAAGAAAGAAGAAAGAAGTGAAGGCAACAGCTACCATACACATGCGCACACACACACACTCAGAGAGAAATGGGAGGTGAAGCTGATATCTTGGAATTTATATTATTGACGGGCATTCATACAACAAATGGACTTCACATATCCTACAAAATAGAATTATCTAAATTCGAGCCTTGAGAAATTTGCGGCTACTGAGCTATATTTGTATATCAAACATGCATATCAATCCTTGTCACGCATGAGTTTATATATTATGTGTTAAGTTCTATAATCATTTTAGTCATCGACCGTGTGATGTTGCGAATTTTCGACAAAGTGAGGATCTCATGAAGAAATTTAAGGTTGTTTAGTGAGGTGCTCGATGATCAATGCCATCAATTTATACGGTTTCCATTCCATGTCTTCCCCAAAAGCCCAAACGTCACTGTGTCTTGCTCGTTAATTACAAGTAACGAATGTGTTCATTAATGACAACAGAAGAATCAACAAGCGACTCTGTGGCCCAATGGATAAGGCGCTGGTCTACGGAACCAGAGATTCTGGGTTCGATCCCCAGCAGAGTCGTCCTTTTATTTGTGTTTTTTTGTCCTACCGAACCAAATAAAACCAAAGCTAGTTAGTTTTTCACCGTATATATTTATGAGTAAGGCTCTGTATTATTTATTTGTTTGTCCACCCACCCCCATCATTTATACCAACCAAAATTTGAGATTTTATTTTTGTAAAATTCGGTAATAAGAGAAAATTTCACAAATGACACGAATTAGAGATTATTCCCAAGTGTCACTTTAACCCAAAATTAAGGTTATGGTTCATCTCAATTAAAATGTGTTACTATGTATTATTTATGATGACCCAATTTGAATCTAGGTCACACCTTAACATAATTTTTCCCTCGCGTGGTATCAGTGCAGTTATGAATTAGTTCAGTTGATTAAGAGCATTTCCACCTAGAGGATCTAGTCCGTGACAAAGGCCCCCTAGGCCCCTAATTCAGTTTCCAGCACCCAAGTCTTGCTGGGCTCCACCAACGTAGGCAAGCCCAAAGGCAAGACTTGCTTGGGTTGCTGCTTGGGCAAACTGACCTAATGCTGACATTATTATGACGTGAGCAATCAATTTAAATAACAAACAAATTGAAAAAAAAAAAAAGGGAAAAAAATATACCAAAAATTTCAGATTTTTTATTATTATAAATACCTAGCCATATTATTCACTTCTCACACCAAAACTCTATATAAATTCCTCTTCTCATATCTCATGTGAATAGTGGTTACTCTTGGGTTGCTATGGCAATGGGTGGAAAACCAAAAAAAAAAAGAAAAGGCTAGAGCAGACACTATTCATATAAATAGTAACAACCTTTTTCTCCCCTTATCTTTTATTATCATGACAAATGAGTAAAAATGCTCTAAAATAGTGTGTCTTCTCCCTTATTCAAGTCCGAATTCCCTTCTTCGTAATAGTACATTAGATTTTTTTTGTTCAGAAATAGTAAATTAGATTGATCTAAAATAATTTAAACGATAAAATTCTCTGCCATAATGGTATACTCGTGTAGTATACGTGTAAAGTATCGGGTATGTTGATAAGTGGAAGGAAAATACCTCTTTTCTTTGCTGTCATCCATTGTTCGGTGGACAGTGGCAAAGAAAAGGAGACTAATGGGTGTCTGTCAACAGACCTCTTGGGTGATGTTTCTACCCATAACCTCAAATTGGGTTTGGATTGTCTTCTCCCTTATTCAAGTCCGAATTCCCTTCTTCGTAATAGTACATTAGATTTTTTTTGTTCAGAAATAGTAAATTAGATTGATCTAAAATAATTTAAACGATAAAATTCTCTGCCATAATGGTATACTCGTGTAGTATACGTGTAAAGTATCGGGTATGTTGATAAGTGGATAAGACTGAAGCGGCTTTTGGCGGGTCCCCTTATGGCGTGGCCTAGAAATACAATAAACCAATGCGGTGGGCCCTCTGTCAGATCCACTGCACCCGAACCTCGAAAATAAATAATAATAAAAAAAGAAAACGTTGGGCCTGTGGGCATATCTACCAGTTTTGGACTTGGAAAACTAGCGGAACAATTTCTCGTGGGCCCAATTCTCATTTTTGTCGTCATTTTACCCCAACTCACTCACTCAGTGGACCCACCGACCACACTCTTTTGACCCCTTTCGATAAATAAATAATTTAATTAATTAATTTTGTCTGGTTTCCTTCTTAATTTGCCTATTGGCTTATTATCACAAAACATCCCTGACATTTGCAAAATTATCACATTGCATCCCTAACGTTTTTTTGTATCATTAATGGTCCCTAACGTTAATACAGGTACTCTTAAATAGTCCATCTGTCAACAACACCGTTAAATCCAAGGGTATAATCGTCAAATCAATCCAAAACTATAATTTTTTTTCCTTCTCTTCTCTTTCTTTTCTTTTCTTCTTCTTTCTTCTTTCTTCTTTCTCTCCGCCTGGCCCCGCTCACTCTTCTTCTTTCTTTCTTTTATAGAAAGAGGCTTATTGTGAATTTGTGATGCAGAAGACCACAACTGGCTCTGTTCTTGTTATTGCTTTCACTTTTAGTCAAAAGATCCATTTTCACCAACCAAAACCCAAAAAATAAAAACCCTTTTGTGTGAATCTGTTGGCTTTTTCTTTTTTGTTGGGGGTGTTGTCGATAAACCCAAAGCAGGCAGGCATTATGAACGAGGCCAAATAACTCACGCAGATTTCAGAACCTTTGTCTTGGGTTTCTCAGTCATTTTCAGCTTCAACCATTTGGCATATAAACCCCATTGAAGGGCAGGAGCTCTCAACAGCACCTCAAATTGTGATCTCGTTTCTTGTAGCAGAGGAGGAGGAAGAGGAGAAGGATTTTCACAAGGAGCTGGTTTCCATGGGACTGCTGAAATGGCGAAAGGGTCGGGCTTTGGCTGAGGCTCCCAGGTTCATCGAAAAGGCTCCCAAGATTGTGAACGTGATGAAAGTGAGTCCGCGGGCGATTCAGCAGCCGAGGTAGACCGAGTCGCTGTCTCAGCCTCACTGAGTTTGATTGATTACGTAGTCTCTGTACATAAGAAGCAAGCATGTGTTTTTTATTTATTTTTAGTTTTCAGTCTTCTGTTCATGTACTCTGGTGGTGTGTGCTAACTCTTTTACTTGCTTTCTTTGATCAATAAACTATTGAATCTGATATGAGATGAGATTTGATTTTGTTCATCATCTAATTCAATTTGGGAGGAACCATTTTATTTATTGTAGCAGAGATTACAGTACAAAATTGAAGGCGATGTGAATCCCCTCAAAAGATCAAAACCCTAATAAGATAGAAATTACAGCAATATTTTATGATTATTGTTGTTCAAGAATTTACTACCTCTCCTTGCCCTTCTCCTTCTCCTTCCCAAGTGGTTGCCATCTTTCCAATCTTTTGAAGAACCCTAACGACTTCTTTTGTTGTAACGTTTCCAGTCACTGTGACCTTGTTTAGTTGTGCGTCCACATTATATGTTTCAATATCTGCTAGGGGAAAAATAAAAAAGGAACCAATATTGTTTTAGCAAATCACAAAAATAGATTCAATGGGTTTCTGAGGTATATAAATCAGAATTACCTTCAATCTTCTTGATGGCCTTCAAGATTTTCTTGATGCATTCCTCGCAATGCAAACCTACCTTCAATTCCACAACCTGATGCATGCAACCAATACATGGGAAAATTTCAATCCATTGGCATAAACAAACAAAATCAGACCTGAAGTTTGCAACAAAAGGGGATGGAGCTTACATTTCCCATTCAATTTTGATGGATTGAGCAAGAAAGTAAGAATTGTGAAGTGGGAAGGAGTGTGTTGTTTGCTGTTTACATAGTGAGTCCAAATTGAGAGACATATATTAACAAACAGTGTTGAATTTGGAGGTATTGGATTCTTTACGTGATTGGTGGGAACTTTTTTTTATTTTTTTTTAATTTCTCCACTTTTTGTAAAGCTACTTTGTCTTGATTGCTGACAGCAACTAGCCTCTGCATATATTTGTTAGGGTCGGCAAAAAAATCATGAAGCTGCCGGGTTTGGTTGTGGCAAAGATTGAGAATATATTGTTTTATTACCTGCTTATTCATCAAAGGAGGGCCCAGATTTTGAATGTTAATATTCGGTTCACACAAAGAAATCCAGAAAGAACCGTAAATTTTGGTGGAAGAATAACAGAGGAAAATACCTCTTTTCTTTGCTGTCATCCATTGTTCGGTGGACAGTGTCAAAGAAAAGGAGACTAATGGGTGTCTGTCAACAGACCTCTTGGGTGATGTTTCTACCCATAACCTCAAATTGGGTTTGGATTGAAATTGAAATTGGACCAATTTTTCAAAAGACTGATGATTGGGGCCAATCTGGGCAACCCCACAAGTTGGGTTTGGGCTAATTTCTTTTTTTATGGGCTGAAATTGTTACAATCAACAATGGAAGTGACATTAATGGAGGTTTCCCCGCTCTCTAAATTGTATCTGGTAGTGTAAAGATGAAGCTAAACTCATTAAACCAGAGCTCACACATGTGACAATGAAGATGATGAACTGATATTATTAATATAGACAGGGTGCCCTGTTTTTTCTTTTCATTCCCTTTCTCTGTAGAATTCTTTCACTTCATCATGTGACATGTTTAATGGCCTGCCATGATATATTCACAAAGATCAAATAAGACCTCTACAATATTGATCAATTGCAACCAGTTTTAGTTTCAGTAACAACCTAAACTGATGAATTTTCTTGTAGCTCTGTGCCTAGGAGGAGCACTTGCAAAATGGGGTTATTGGGAAAGTTCTTCAGGTTCCTCCCATTGGGGCATTGCTGTAAACCAACAACCACTGGCGGCGACTCTGAGTCGCTTGGCCCTCACGGCATCTCTGCTGCCAGACTCGGCATTTGGGCTCTTGCCTACGACCTTTTCAACTTCGAGATCACCTCTCAAGTATGTTTTTTCCAACTTTTTGAAACTGTTGAGAGTCTTTTGTTGCTTAGTGAATTGTAAACTGTAATGTTGAATGTTTCTCAATTCTCATTCAATTTGTATGTGTCAGCTAAGTATATGCATAATGATATTAGGTCCCAGAAGATCTCAGTCGGCATGTTGTCTCATCCAAGAAGGCTCAAGCTAACTGGTAATCAGCAAGCAATTATCTGTCTCATTACTCTACAATTGGGAAGAAAGCAGACGTTGAGAAATTTATGTCCATATATATAAAGGTATAGAAAACTAGTTGAAACATGGAGAGAAGCAGAACAACCACCAAGAACAGAGGAAGAGGCGGCTAGGCTTGTTATACAAACCCTCAAGGGACACAAAAAGGCTGATGTTCAGGTGCATTGCCACAATATTCAATCTGTTACATGTTGCTCAGAGAACGCAACTGTAATTCGGAATATGGTAGCATTAAAAATTCTTTTGTGATTGCTTATCTACAGGGCTTATTGGATTTCTATGGTCTCCCTCGTCCCCATTCTCTTGTCAAAGTTTCTGCTGGGGTCCCAACTTCATTGCCTCAAGGAGTAAAGTTTGAGTTCCAGACACTACCAGTAATGAAAACAATTTTGCTCTCCAATTACTCATTTTCACCACAACCAAACCAAATGCTTGCCCTGAGAGACTAGTTTCGATAGGTGATTCATTTTGGTGAAACCAGGTTGATGCAAAAGCAGTTCCAGATGGCGATGGAGTGACAGTTTATGTCAGCACAGCAGATCCCAGAGAATCCTCCTCTGTTCCGAGCGATGTGCAGATAGCAGCCATCCAAAGATCAGAAGCACGCGCTGATAAGAATTATACTAAGGCAGATGAACTTCACCAAAAAATCATTGATGCTGGATATCGGTACGTAGGATATTTGATCTGCTTCTCTTCTTGCATTAATTAGTCGTTTTCAACACAAGTTTCTGATTGCTTTTACCCCTCCATTCAGGGTACTAAATGTTCAAAATGAGGAGATCCTTGCTCGAAAGTATCGAATTCGACTGAGGTAAAATTTTCTGCTCCTTAATTATGTATTACAACTAGTTGAACTGCACTGCACTGCACTTATTCTACTAGTGAAAGTTGATTGATTTTGAGTGAAAACAGGGGCATAGACGCACCGGAGACTTTAATGCCGTACGGACAAGAAGCCAAAGAGGAGCTGGTTAAGCTTCTTGAGGGCAAGTGCTTGAGGGTCCTTGTCTATGGGGAAGACCGTTATGGCCGCTGTGTAGCTGACGTATACTGCAATGGCGTATTTGCACAGGAAATAATGCTCAAGAAGGGTGGTGCATGGCATTACACAGCCTACGACCAGCGCTCCGAGTTTGCAAGAGTGAGTAAAATCATATTATTAATTATATATTTACAAAAAATGCAAGTTAAACTAACATAATTTTATACTTTTAAAGTATAATCATTTTTTAGTTTGTAACATTTTATACATGTATCAATCATACTAGTGGGAAGGAGAGGCTCGACGGAGGCAAATTGGGTTATGGGCTTCATCAAACCCTGAGAAGCCATGGGATTGGAGAAAGGATAGGCGTCAAAGGCAGATGACATATTGGTGACAAAATTAAGTTCAGAATGAAACATTCATTATGAGATTATTTATGCCTTTAAGTGCAAGGCAGTAGGTTTATTTGGGGTGAAAAATGAGGTTTTGTGTTGCTATCCTTTTGCACACCAAACCCAAATATCTCACCTACCCTCATAAGCAAATCCCACTAATCAAGGGATAATCCGTACTTGCCATGCCTTCAAGCCTGAAAATAAAAGAAAGCTCCACTACTTGAAGGAAGCCTGCAAAAAAAAGCTCACACCTCTGAGAAGGATCGGCTGCCACTCTCCCATTTTCTCCCTCTCATTGACTAAGGCTCTCAAGCCTCTCTCTCAATGTAAAGTGTATTATGTATAAATCTCAAATATGAAATGCAAATACAAACATAGTGGACGTAGCCCGATTATGGGTGAACCACTCTAAAATCTGTGTTTTATGTGTGTGATTGTGGTTTTGCCTCTCTAATGATGTTGATCCAAAATCCCCCATCAACAGTCTATATTTGAATAGTACAGTGGTTTGTATAAGTGCTGAGATCAATTGGTATATTTCAATAATAATGTTTACAGGTACAGGTCTATGATTATATACAGTTTGAATACAATCCTAATAAGGTAAATACAATCAGACTTGAGTGACTGAATCAATCCTAATCAAATAGAATAGGAAAGACAGCTTAGCATATATATCACATTTGACTTTCATACGGACATGGAGGTTTCCCTTCTCTAAATGCATCAAACCAGAGTTCACACCATGATGTGCCATGTGAGCTTGAAATGGCAGAGTTTTTACATGCAATGAATTTACTGTTTTATTAACATATAGTCCCCTGTTTTTTCTCTCCCCTGTTCTTTCTTTATAAATTTCTCTGCCTGCCACAGGTTTTATTTTGTGGCCTGCCATAAAATCTTCACATACACAGAGATCAAATAAGCCCTCTACGAATATTGATCATCAATTGTTCAATTGCAAACAGTTTCAGTTTCAGGAACAAACTAAACTGATGAACACAAGAAGAAAAAATCCCACACTTAGACTTGATGCTTACGTTACAGCGTTGACCACGCCACCACACAACTAGCCACGTGTCAATCTGTTTTCTGATCCGTTGCTTGGATTGGATCCTTCCCCCTTCCAATCTCACCAGATTCACCAACCCAAAGTTATCTCATTTCTCTTGTTCTCAAAAACCTTTTCTTTTGCTTCTTTCTTCAGCTTCCGCGTCTAATTCTCTTGTAGCTTTGAGCCTTGCTGGTTGCTGAGGCTCATTGCAAAATGGGGTTGTTGGGGAAGTTCTTAAGGTTCCTGTTGGAGCTGTGGGATTGCTGCAAACCCACAGGCGGCAACTCTGAGTCGCTTGGGCCTCACGGCGTCTCTGCTGCCACAGTCGGCGTTTCGGGTCTTGCCCACGACCTCTTCAATTTTGAGACCACCTCTCAGGTACCTTTTTTTTTCTTTCATACATTTCAGCTGTAATTGAACCCTGTTAACTGTCTTTTGTTGCTTAGTAGATTTGTGAATTGTAATGTTCAATATTTCTCAATTCTCATTCATAAATATAAATAGATAGGTAAGCTGAATCTGAGTACATGCACAATGATATTAGGTTTCAGCCTTTCTGGGTTTTGTTCATTTTCATCTCATTTTATTAAGGTTGACTTTTTAAAAAAAATTCTTCTTCAATCTTCTATGATCATGATTTAAGGTCCCAGAAGGACTCAGTCAGCATGTTGTTTCATCCAAGAAGGCTCAAGCTAACTGGTAATCAGCAAGCAATTATCTATCTCATTAGTTTAGAATTGGGAAGAAGAAAAAAAAAGGTCTTCAGAAATTTATCTCCATATAATTGGCTGAATTTGACTTCTCCAACTTTCCAAATATGTAAAGGTACAAGAAACTAGTTGCGACGTGGAGAGAAGCAAAGCCACCACCAAGAACAGACGAACAGGCGGCTACGCTTGTTATACAAACCCTCAAGGGACACAAAAAGGCTGATGTCCAGGTACATTGCCACAATATTCAACCTGTTACATGTTTCTCAGAACACAATTATAATTTGGAATGTGGTAACATAAAATTTCTTTTGTGATTGCTTATCTACAGGGCTTATTGGCTTTCTATGGTCTCCCTCATCCCAATACTCTGGTCCAAGTTTCTGCTGGGGTCCCAACTTCATTGCCTCAAGGAGTAAAGTTTGAGTTCCAGACACTACCAGTAATAAAAACAATATTGCTCTCCAAGAACTCATTTATACCACAACCAGGTACCTTGAAACTAGTTCTGATGGGAAAAATCGTTTTGATGAAACCAGGTCGATGTAAAAGCAATTCCTGATGGAGATACAGTGACTGTGTATGTCAGCACAGAAGATCCCAGAGAATCTTCCTGTGTTCCGAGCGATGTGAAGACAGCAGCCATCCAAAGATCAAAAGCACGCGCTAAGAGGAATTATACGAAGGCAGATGAACTTCACAAAAAAATCATTGATGCTGGATATCGGTAGGATGTTGATATGCCTCTTCTTGCATTAATTAATCGTTTTCAACACAAGTTTCTAATTGCTTTTACCACTCCATTCAGGGTACTGAATGTTCAAAATCAGGAGATCCTTGCCCGAAAGTATCGGATTCGACTGAGGTAAAATTTTATGCTTAATTACAGGGTGCACTGCACTTGGTCTTCTAGTGAAAGTTAATTGATTCTGAGGGAAAAAAAAACAGGGGTATAGACTCGCCGGAAAGTTCAATGCCGTATGGAAAAGAAGCCAAACAGGAGTTGGTTAAGCTTATTGAGGGCAAGTGCTTGAGGGTCCTTGTCTATGGAGAAGACCGTTATGGCCGTTGTGTAGGTGACATATATAGCAATGGTATATTTGCACAGGTAATATATATCACATAACTTTAATATCTGTCTGCTACAAAATACCAACAAGTCTTCTGATCTCCGTTTTCGATCTCAACCAGGAAGTAATGCTCAAGAAGGGGTGTGCATGGCATTATACCGCCTACGACCAGCGCTCAGAACTTGCAAGAGTGCGTAAAATCATATTATGAATTACTGATCTAGTTTTTTAAAAATATAAACAAAAACTAATAACTAGATAAAAATTGTGAGTTGGGAAATAAAACATAATTAAAACAGAAAAACTTTTAAGTAGTATGATCGTTTCTATTTTCAACTTCTTCACTCATAATATATAGTATGTCGTTTATTTATAATAGTGGGAAGAAGAGGCTCGATTGAAGCGAGTTGGGTTATGGGCTTCATCAAATCCTGAGAAGCCGTGGGAATGGAGAAAGCATAGACGCGATGCCCGATGACATATATATTCTTGACCAGAGGATGAGTTCATTCACATTCATAATCGCCATCTCTGCAGCAAGTAGCCTCCAGCCTCCAGCCCAAGTTGTGATCGTCCAAGCACAGTCCCAAAATTGACAAGTCCCCAGCTGGAGGAGGTTGGGAAATGGCACAGACAATGATGAAATGAGAAGAACACATATGTTATGCTTTTCGCATGTTTTATTCTTATAATTGATTGATATTGGAAACCCTTGAACGTTTTATATGGGAAAAATTGCACCTACATTAGCTTTAACTCCAGAGTTAGTCCAAAGACAAAATTAAGATAAATTTATGTGGATGACAAGATCTCGAGTGTAGAAACAAATACTTTTAACCACTCGACCAAAGGTAGACTTTGATTGCAAATAGAGTTCATATATACTTTATGGATCCAAAATCTGGGACTGTTAGGTTAACAAGAAGCTCCGAAAAATCATTTCTACACCCAAAGCCTAACCGAACCAACACCATCACCTAATGCACTAATTGAGCACGCCACCAAAATCGATGCCATTCATATATGAGTTGGAAGTACAAAAAATGGTAAAAGGTAACAAAATTGCAAGAGAGACTTTATAAAAGCTCTTACCCCATTTCAAAATGAACTAATGCCGTGGAGGAGGTTGGGAAATGGCACAGACAACGATGAAATGAGAAGAACACATATGTTATGCTTTTCGCATGTTTTATTCTTATAATTGATTGATATTGGAGACCTTTGAACGTTTTATATGGGAAAAATTGCACCTGCATTAGCTTTAACTCCAGAGTTAGTCCAAAGACAAAACTAAGATAAATTTATATGGATCACAAGATCTCGAGTGTAGAAACAAATACTTTGAACCACTTGACCAAAGGTAGACTTTGATTGCAAATAGAGTTCATATATACTTTATGGATCCAAAATCTGGGACTGTTAGGTTAACGAGAAGCTCCAAAAAATCATTTCTACACCCAAAGCCTAACCGAACCAACACCATCACCTAATGCACTAATTGAGCACGCCACCAAAATCGATGCCATTCATATATGAGTTGGAAGTACAAAAAATGGTAAAAGGTAACAAAATTGCAAGAGAGACTTTATAAAAGCTCCTACCCCATTTCAAAATGAACTAATGCCCTATTAACAAGGTTATTTAATAGGGCTTCTTTTTCTAAAGCAATTCTAGTCTGCTGGAAAATTTGGGAGGCGAGGAATAACCTTCCTTTTCGAGACATCCAACCTCATCCTGCTATGTGTATTCATCTTGCTACTTTGCATGGTATGGACTACAGGAAGCAGAATCACACCACTAAACCTATAATTAATAGACATATGGACATCAAATGGCATCCTCCTCCTGTTGGGGGTCAAAATTAATTTTGATGGGTGAGTCCAAGAGTTACAAAGATCAACTAGATTTGTAATTAGGGATAGTGAGGGCCATGTACTCCTTGCTGGTGCTAAGAAGACTGGGGAGTCGACAATCACGATAGCTGAAGGCATTGCCTTGCGAGATGACCTAATTCATGCTCTTGACCATGGTTGGCGAAATCTGATTGTAGAAGGGGACTCCAAATTGATAATTGATTGTGTCCTAAGGAAGGTTTCAATTCCTTGGAGAGTTGCTATGCATTAGCTAGGTTGGGCCATGGTCTGACCTCCTCTTGTATTTGGGAGCATGGTCTTCCCTTATTAGTTGTATCTCCTTTCTATTTTGACCTCTTTGGACCTTCATGATCTTGATGTTGTAATTTTCTTTTCCGCATAAAAAATGGTTATTTAAAACAAGCTCCTTTTATTAACGGAATCTAGCCCAATGGAAAAAGACTTTGACTTTCAAACAAGAGGCCACAATACGCTAATCACCTCCAGCAATTTCTTGATAGGCAAACATTAACTTGTCATTGGTTCCACCAGAATGACTTCGAGGACGACAATGGCACTGCAAGTCCACCACTAAAGCCCTCCACCGGAAAAGAACCGCTTGAGTACATAGAATGCAGTATTTTCCATTCTTGCTTCAGGTCCACCACGTCGAAGCAAAGAATTAATTAAATAATACATGAAAAATATAAGTTAAGAACAAACTTACTAGCAGGAACGGAAAATATCTAACTTAACCTTTGAGCATGATTGAAAAAAAAAACCATTTATCAGATGTGGGGCATAGCATCCCCAATTTACCCCTTACTCATCATACCTAAAGAAGAGAAATTTCCAAAAGCGTTGCCTTTTGGTGGCAATTGGGAAATTTCATAGTGCCACAACCAAATCGAATTCCAGAATGACAAAACTTGGCTACCCTCCCAATTCAGGTCGTCAATTTAATTCACTCCAATATCTCACCTCCCAATTAAATCGTTGAATCTAATGCACTCCAATTTCTCATATCATAATAACATAATATATCTTTACCCCGTTATATATAAACTATGTTCATATATTTTCATTTCCTTATAGTAGAATCCCCGAAAGTGTGAGATTCCATTCCACGGAGATGCCTAACGGCCACTTTGGTCCCCCACCTCAGGCAAGAAACGAAGTCGAAGAAGAAAGGGCTTGGGGTCGTAAGATGATACACACTAGCTAACAATCGTCCTGGTGCCACATCATAGGCATACATGGAATAACTTTTGATTCCTATCTTGGATTTGGAATCGTTGCACAGTTCATATACTTTCACTTTCTTACAATAAAATCATGAAAAGCGGGTGATGTTTTTTTTATAAAAGAATAATTCCAAAACAAAAAAGACTATAACAAATTCATAGTTGATAATAGCATGCCTGTAACACGTAGGATACTAACTTAAACGGTTGACCAAAAGACCAAGACTTGCCTCACTTCCTTTTCCATTCCCTAGAATGTAAGCATTATTACTGTTTGCTTTACCAAACTTCACCAACTGAATATAATATCTAAAAGCTCCTTTAACTCTCTTTTTAGCTTCTTTCTTTAGCTTCTGTTCCGTGTCTGTTTTCCTTGTAGCTCTGAGCCTTCGCTTGCTGAGGCTCAGATTTACCAGCAAGGAACATTGCAAAATGGGATTTTTGGGAAAGTTGGTAAGGTTCCTGTTGGGACCTTGCTCTAAGCCCACAACCACAGGCGACTCTGAATCACTCGGGCCTTACGGCGTCTCCGCTGCCACAGTTGGCGTTTCGGCTCTTGCCCACGACCTCTTCAACTTTGAGATCACCTCTCAGGTACCTCTTCAACTTTGCTATCATTCTTTTGTTTCTTATGGTCTGTAGACTGTAGTGTAAGTAAATATTATCTCAGTTCTCATTCCTTTTTTATGTCTCGGTAAAACAGAAGAAACAAGTAAGGTTAATCTGAGTAAATTAATGCATAATGATATTGGGTTTCAGCCTTTCTGGGTTTTGTTAATTTTCATCCCATTTTATTAAAGTTGACTTTTTCTTTGTTTTCCTTTTCGAATTTTTATGATTATGATCTTAGGTCCCAGAAGGACTCAGTCAGCATGTTGTTTCATCCAAGAAGGCTCAAGCCAACTGGTAATCAGCAAGCAATTATCTATCTCATTACTCTACAATTGAGAAAATTGTGCATATATTTTACTGGATTTTCTGGGTAACATAAGGGAGTGGCTAAGAGTGAAAGACCATTTTTACAACTTATGTCTCTTATTATTTGATTTCTCTAAATTTCCAAACATATAAAGGTATAGAAAACTAGTTGAGGCATGGAGAGAAGCACAACCACCGCCAAGAACAGCCGAAGAAGCAGCTACGCTTGTTATACAAACCCTGAACAGACAGCAAAAGGCAGATGTTGAGGTACACTAAAGAAGCATTGCCACAATATTCAACCTGTTACATGATGCGAACAAATATAATGTGGAATATGGTAACATATAAATTCCTTTGTGATTGCTCATCTGTAGGGCTTATTGGCTTTCTATGGTCTCCCTCTTCCCCATACTCTGGTCCAAGTCCCTGCTGAAGTCCCAACTTCATTGCCTCAAGTCAAGGAGTACAGTTTGAGTTCCAGACACTGCCGGTAATAAAAACTAGTATCGCTTTCCATTTACTCATTTTTACCACAACCAAACCAAGTGCCTGCCTTGAATTGAAACTAGTTCTGAGGGGTGAATTTTATTTGTTTTCATGAAACCAGGTTGATGCAAAAGCAGTTGCAGATGGCGATGGACTGACAGTCTATGTCAGCACAGCAGATCCTAGGGAGTCATCCTGTGTTCCGAGTGAAGTGCTAATGGCGGCCGTCCGAAGAGCAAAAGCACGCGCCAAGAAGAATTACACAAAAGCAGATGAACTTCACAAAAAGATCACTGATGCTGGATATCGGTTTGATATTTATATGCATCTTGCATAAGTTCCGTTAAATTCAGGACACTTGATGTTTAAAATGAGGCAGGGAACTAATTGCTGTTGCAACTTCCATGCAATGCAGGGTATTGAATATTCAAAATGAGGAGATCCTTGCCCGAAAGTGTCGGATTCGACTGAGGTAAAGTTATGTGTTTACAAGATTTCAGCTAGCTGCGACTTATTCTAGTGCTGAAGCTTAAAGTTAATTGTATGAGAAAACAAACAGGGGTATAGATGCACCAGAGAATGCAATGCCCTATGGACAAGAAGCCAAACAGGAGCTGGTTGGGCTTCTTGAGGGAAAGTGTTTGAGGGTCCTTGTCTATGGGGAAGATCAATTTGGCCGCACTGTAGCTGACTTACATTGCAATGGCATATTTGTACAGGTACTAAATATATATATATATATATATGTATGTCACTTAACATGAGTATCTATCTATCTACATATGCTCATAATTAATACCAACAAGTCATCTATCTGATTCTCATCTCCCTTCTCAATCTCAACCAGGAAGCACTGCTCAAGAAGGGCGCTGCATGGCATTACGCAGCCTATGACCAACGTCCGGAATTTGCCAGAGTGAGTAATATCCTATTATTAGAGAGAAATATTACCATCTAGGAGAGTTATTTGATATTTTCATTAAGTTTTTTGATCTCTAAGTAAAGAGATTGATGATGTTTTCTCTAACTAATCACTATTTTGGAGAAGTTACTAAAGATACTGGGCTAGAATGTAGAGAAAGCAAAATATTACTAAAACAACATAATTTTAAACTTTTAAAGTATAATTATTTTTATTTTTCAACATTTTACGCATGTATCAATCATACTAGTGGGAAAAAGAAGCTCGACGGAGGCGAGTCGGGTTATGGGCTTCATCAAACCCTGAGAAGCCATGGGAATGGAGAAAGCGTAGGCGCTGAGGCGGATCATGACATATTTATGACAAAATTAAGTTCTGATTGAAACCTTATGTGTAAGACACAAGATTATGTCTTTAGTGCAAGTACAGTAGGTTTTGGAGTGAATAAGAAGTTTTGTGTAGCTATCCTTGCACATTAAACCCAACATTGTGTAATTATTTGTGTAATATGCTTTCATCTATATTTGAATTGTAGCACAACGGTTTGAAGTTCTCTTCATTTCTCTTTTCAATGTTAGAGCTTTTCCCTGTTGCTGAAGGTTAGATATTTGGGGCCAAAAATCCCAGACAGCACAAACTAACAGATGCTTTGCCTGCTTACTGCAAAACATTGCCAAATTCCTCTGCGCTAGATTTTAGAATTTGCAAGTTGGATTGAAGACAAAGCTTCTTAAAGGAGGTAGATAATGGACAAAGCAGCTTCTTAAAGGAGGTAGATAATGGACAAAGCAGCTTCTTAAACCGAATATGAGTTCTTTCTATTACAGAGTATCACAATTAAACCCAACCTCAGAAGCAAACTCAAAATTTACATTTGGCCTTATTTTGCATCCTCTTCCAATTCATCCGAGTTTGAATCACTTGCATTATAACCTAATCAAACCAACCAGAAATCAATTAAGGTCACACTACTAATGATCAAGACCAACAAAAAATCAATTAGAACCAAGTAAGGTCACACAACTATTGATCCAACCAGCGAGAGAGAGATGAGTACCTGGAGGTTTATTACTCACTTTCCAAACCGAAGTTCGACTTTTCGAAGCTCTATTCATCCAAGCCTGCCCCTAAGTACAGACAAATCACTACCGTCTTCAGAATGCACAACTCACAAGTTCAGAATGAGTTAAGTACAGAGTACAAACATAAATGGCATAGAGATTTAACCAAAATTCATACACCCGTTTGCCCAAAAAACACACAGAAGGGCTAAAACAACAAAGCAACCAAGCCCTAATGAGGCATCAAGAACACATTCATCAATGCTTCATTCATAGTAACAAGACCAGCAAAAACAGAATCATGCATTCGAAATAATGAGGCATCAAGAACACATTCATCAATGCTTCATTCATAGTAACAAGACCCGCAAAAACAGAATCATGCATTCGAAATTTAAAAGTTTTTCTACTTTTAGCCTAACTGATAATAATTTTCCTTCGAAAACTTAGAAGCCCAAACAAACAATATGAAGCACAAGACTCAAAAACCTTCCTTGCCTCTATTTTACCAGTGACCACATTAAGAACCAATCAATTTTATAAATGAAAACAGAGCACTTAAACTTAAAGCCCTTAACCTCCAATCTAAAAATGCACACAAAACAAATATAACAATTTGAAAGCAAAAACTAAGCAGAATCAAAGAAACCCAAAAAATAAAATTCAACCTTTTTGGCGTCTCTAGAAACGCCATAGCCGCTGTAATACATCTGACCCACCAAGACCTGCATGGAGCTATCACCCGCCTTGGCCTCCTTGAGCGTGTCCTGGAACCACCGTTTCACGCAGTCTGAGACCACCCGGGCCAGCGGAACCCGGCTCTGGCCCTCGGAGCTCTCCATCTTCAGCTTAATTCGCTCCGGGTCGACCCGAAAGCTCTCCGATTTGGGTGCTTGTGGGGGCGAAATTCGGACTTGCGAGACTTGTTTGGTGCGTCTGGGCCTGCCTGGGAGCTTGTCCGCAGAGACAACTCTGGTGAACTCTTGGAATCTGGTCGCTGAAGGAATTGCCTTTCCCATGAACGATAAAAGCAAGCAGATTTTTTTTTGGGGGGGTTTTTTGGAATGGGCTTGGAAATGAAAAATGAGGCAAGGCAATTGGTTTGTTATCGAGTTTTCATGGTTCGGGTTTTGGGAGTTTCTGGGATCTGAAACTACACCAGACTTTCAGATTTGTGCAAGATGGGTGATAGTTCGGTGTTTGCATTGTCTTTTTTGGTTGGCGGCTTCTCTAATTAGCGAGACCTTTTCTTCTTTTCTATATAACCTTAATTCAATAAGCAAAAACTCTGGGGATTTACAGTTGTTCTTGTTCTGGCCTTTTCATGAACAACAGGCCTCCAGCTTCACCCAATTTATTTATATTTGGGCTTTTTGATCCTAACCTGGGCTCAACTAAAACACGGGTCTTGAAGCTTTAGCTCTCTTCTTTGACCGCGGACGACAACACGACAAAGAAAAAGAGTTTGATAAGGCTCGGATTTGTTGACGTCAACAAGATAAGCTGACAATAGCCCAGCCCAGTACAGACAAATTCAGGAAGAAAGTGCTTTTCAAAATTCTTTTCTTTTTTTAACCAAGGAAATGACTTTGGCCTCGCTTTTTGACTACATGTACGTCAACCTTTTAAATAAGTTGATAGGTATAGAAGGTGACATTTACATTAACCTTTTGTATAGACAGTGAGGCCGTCACATTGTCACGTAATGTTATTAATATACATGTTATATTATAATATATTATAATGTAGATTAATAACACCATATGATAGTATTACGATGACAAAAGAATTTCTCATATTATGAAGAAAAAACTAATATTTACATTAACCTTTTGTATAGACAGTGAGGCCGTCACATTGTCACGTAATGTTATTAATATACATGTTATATTATAATGTAGATTAATAACACCATATGATAGTATTACGATGACAAAAGAATTTCTCATATTATGAAGAAAAAACTAATCCATCAACGAAAAATGACTCTGGACCAAACCTGATATAATGGTGGGTTCTCAAATATGCATAGCCATAGCAGTCTGCATCTGCGTGTGGATGATGCTTCGTCTGCATGCATGCTGCTCTTTTCATGTATGTTTTCCTCCTCCAATCCTGTATCTGAATGGAAATTGGTTTTGTCTTAATCTAGTTTTAATTATGCGACCAAGCACAACACAACTGCACTCGAATCTCTAAGTTTGCTTCAACAAGTCTGGCGTTTGCAAAGACAACTTGAACAAATTCTTTATATTCCAATTGCAATGCAAACAATTGAATATACCCAACTTGTGTTTATTTTACGAGCGTCGTTTTCGATCCTATCCTACATCCCATGTCCGAATCAAGACACTGCTTTAGTTTATTATGCTTCTGGGAAAATACGTATGTTTCTATCTTTCTCCTCAATCTCATGGATTCTTCTCTTAATTAATTCAGGATAAAACGTGCTTATCTTAAGGGATAATTAACAACTTATTTTTGGCAAAATATGTGCAACTAGTCAAAGCTATCTATTTCAATTGTGTAATTGCCGTCTTCAAGTGTATTTGGACCCTAACTTACGCAAATGCGAATTAAATTGCACATTACTCAAAGACTCGGTAGATACCGTGCTTATGTTAAACATTCACATAAGATTCATGTTTTATTTATTTATTTTAATAATACGATATTCTAAATTATTTTAAAAGAGCTGAACATAAACCACATCTCTTACGTATGATTATATTTAAATTTTGTTAGCTTCTCAAATTTAGGAATTTAAATAACAAATTTCTTGTACATACGTTATGGAAAAAGCTTGCCCATATGTTAACTACGTTTTACGTGAAAATTAATGTAAACAGTTATCTGTATGTGACATGTCTGGCTGCATAAGAGAATCACGAAAGCACAACTTGTTAATTAATTGAGTAAATTGACCATTTCACATACGTACCCCACAAAATGCGTAAAGAAATTATTGAAATCAATAAAAAAAATTAGTGGGAGATTAGAGTAAACATGACGTGACTAGACTAGACTAATCACTATAGCACGATTTGGATGGAATATGATAAAATGACCTGGAAATAATTATCAGTTTGATAAGCTACTTTCTCAACCAAAACAAAGAGTGCTCAGAATTAGATGTGGGTTTATTTTCAAGTAATTATCAATCAGTTTCCATAATCAACAGTTTTTATATCTAATAGGATAGGAGCATCAAATTATCAACATGGCCCTCTCACGATATCATCATTTCAACATAACTTTAAACTTTGTGGGTTACAGGTGGAAATCTCAAATCAAAGACTTTTTTCTTTTCTTTTTTTCCTACGCATGTTAATTTCAATATAAATGTGTGTATGTGCAAATACCTTTTGTTGGGTTGATTCTCATTCAGTGCTCATGAAGTGATGGGCTCGGATAAAACTAACTAATTTCCCTCTCTTATTAATATTAATATGACTTGGGATAAGGTTGAGAGTGACAATTCATGGAATATTTGAGGGAATAGGAATAAATTCCACATAAGATTCATTCAAATGTTGGATACCTAACAAGTTCCAGGCTAGGTCCAAATTCACCCTCACCCACCTCGCCCAAATTGAGAGGTGGTTCGGGAATATACCTCTTGCTCAGCATATTTTTGTTCTTTCAAACCATAAATTTGATCTAAATAAGAGAGAAGATGTAGAGAGCGAAAGTCAAATTCTCACCGTGAATTTAAGATAAACTCTCTGTTACTAAAAAATAATGAAAGTTGTGGCTTGTGCGATATTGGAAAAAATTATGTTACAAACAAGTTATCGCATGCAGTTGATCAAAAAGACCAATCAAGGAACAGTTGAGATCTTGTCGGGTTGATGTCATCCTTTTAACGTTAAGTTTCATAGTAGTTGCAAAAAGCTTGGATGATCGTGAGACCTCCTCTCCTCTCCTCCTCATCAATTATATAATATAGTTCTTGTAATATTCTAAATCATTTAACTTTGATGTGTCACAGAGTAGTGGTCCTCCATCTATGTAATTCTTTTTTAATTTCCCAATATTATATAAGTTTGTAAATAATAATATTTTATAATCAATGAAGAGGTTCAAGAAAATTAGGAGAAAGTATTATAGGAGTGCTTATTCTTTGTGTTAGATAATGAAATGAGCATTTATAAAGGTGGAGAGACGTTGCTTTCCATAGCGAGCAATTTCCCATGAGGGGGTTTGTTTCCATGCTAATTTCCTCTTAGTATTGTTTTGAAGTGTGACTCCTTGATTTAGTCAGATTAGGTGACTAAAGTTTAGATGGCAAGCAGTTGTGGGTTAAGGTCAATTGGTCAAGTGATATGTTCGCTTCCTTGCACTTAAGTTCCATCTCCCTCCCTATATATTAGAATAGTTTAGAATATTATTTTTACCATTAAAAAATTTAGATGGCTAAACTCATTTATAGAGTTTTAGATTCAATTCATAGTTAGAGAAGACTTAAAAATTATTGTGAGGAGCCAACTGGGTCTAGTCCAGTGAAAAAGAACTTTGACTTGTAGACCATTGATCTCAGGCTTAAACCCATATGACACTTTGATAGTGTGTGAGAAACACTCCACCTCCCTTCCCTCTTCACCTTGTAGTTTAGACTATCACTTGTATTTAAAACGAAAAACGAAAAACCCTCTTGTGAGGGAGTGCTTGGTAAGAAAATGTATGAGGTAACATATGGGATTTATTGACCATAAAATTAGCGTTTCAATTAAATGTTTAAAGTTGTATAAGCGGTTATAACTTATATAAGTTAAATTGCAGTATTATCATTAATATCAGGCAATTAACCGAAGGCTGGAGCAAGCTTGTTTCTCATTTACAAAACGGTGTGGTAATCACGCAGCCCCGCCCATGAGGTAGCAACTTTTGTTACTAGAGAAGGAGGTTATCATAGTCCTCCAATGTGATCGTTTAATTTGTTAGCTATTGATGCAAACGTTACTTGTCGTATTTGAATAAAATCTTTCACCTTTGGTAATTAAAAAATATATATATAAACGAAAACGGAACATCAGGACCCTCTCGAAGATGTTCTTTATTTTTTTAAAACAAAAAATTCGTACAAATAATTGAAACGACACAAATGGACGACCATTATTAGGTTTTGGGGCCTAAAAATCAACGGACACGAATTGCTGGCACAATAAAGGGTCCCACAAAACAAAGAACATGATTGTCACGAAATACATGTGACCAAATCTCTTCCAGTGGTTGAATCGTTTAAGTCCGACGAGATGAGGTCGACGCTCAATATATGTTTCCGCTGGACGCTAATTTGTGTATGAACGTCCACGTGGACATAACCGGCCCCTACATATGCATCTGATGAAATAAAGCCCACCGTACACGTGGCTTAGAGTTTTGTTGAAATAATGCAAAGGAAAAATTGAATCGACTTGGAGGAGACTATTACAATTTCCGGAGATCTTATCACTTTATTTTAGAAGTAACCATGATCACTCATGAGTCCAGGACTCACGAGTCAACAATCACCACCTCGCCACTTTGAAACCAACGAGGGATTAATATTGACTATTCATCATTGTCGCTTAATAATGGTGGAGAATGTTGACAAAATCTTGCATCAATGTCAACCAGTCTAGTTGTAGTTGTTTCATTAGAGAGTTTTAAGTTTGGTTCAAATCAATGTGAGACGGCTATACATTTATAGCGAGTTCTATATCTAATAATTGTGCCTTGTTTCACTCCGGTGACCAATAAAAAAGTTTGGTTCCATTGTTTGAGGGACTAGTAACACCAATTTTCAATACATGAACAGAGGATCTGAATACTGGTTAGGTGTATTTTTTTTTTATATACTTATTAATGAAATTCGCTTGACGAATTTACTATTTAAGTTATACCTAATCGGTTTTCGAATCCTAGATCCTCACTGGCTAAATGACAAGTTTAGATGTATTTTTTTATGCTTATGAATGAGATTCACTCTACGAATTTACTATGTAAGTTATGCCTAACCGGCTTTCAAATCCTGATCCCCATTAGCTAAACGACAAGTCGAATGCAGTACATTTACCCAAAAATGAGAGAGGTGGCACTGTATCTGCAACTCTTCATTATTAATACAAACAGTTTACTCTGAGTCTGTGACTGACTCTCCCAGCTTCTGCGGAACTGGTTCTTCTTCTTCACCCTAGTTTTTTGTCCTTTTGTATAAATATACTTGGCTTAAGGGTATATAATACATATATCTGTAGGATACGAAAATAAGAAACCTTAGCATATTCGTAAAAAAATCCAAAAGCACCAAAGGTTATTAAACAAACACGTCTTTATTGAAAAAGGAGAGTACCATA